CGGCTGAGAGGCGCTCACCCCTGCTCTGCTAGTACTGGCTACAGGGGCCGTACTTGCTCCTCCTTTCTTGGCTGCCCCAGGTGTTCGGGGTGCTGCTGTTGTCCTTTTAGGCGGCGGTTGTTGAGGCCTGCCCATGAGCTCTTCTATCCTCTCAAACCGGGCATTAAAAATGTCCCCGATTTGACGGACTATTCTCGCCTCGACGCCCTCGGTGATGGGTGGCGTTTCGCTCGACTCAACACCTTGGGCGCCGGATGTCACATCCATGGCCGCACTTTGTGGCTGGTTCGCCAGTGCGACTTTGGCTGCCGCCAATTCACTTTGCGCCTTTGACAGCGCCAAGCGGTCCTCCGAACTCTTCTTCATTAACTCCTGGAAGGAGTTGCGGGTTGCGGCAATCTCGCGCTCCCATTCTGCCCTCTCCGCCTTGAGCATCGCCAGTTCGTCAGAGCTCTGGGCGGCAGACCCCATGGTCTTCCTCTTCAAGTCCCTCAGTTCCACGTAGTACTTGGCGGACTCTTCCCTCATTGCGGTCATCATCTCCCGCATGTCCGCCAAGTCACGTGACAATCGGGAATTCTCTCGGCGCAGAGCTGCGCACTCGGTCGACGCTGTCCTCCCGTCAAGAGATTCAGACGCCGCGCGGATGGTAGCGACGGCGTCCTTTATCTCCTTCACTACTGTGCCCTTCAAGTGGCCGGATTTCCTCACAGCCTCTAGAACCTTGAGGGCACTCTCTTTAATGTCCGTCACTAACACGTCGGCGCGCTTCGCGTCCTCATCTGAGGGTCTGCGGGTGGTAGGGCGCGCCGCCGGTTTCGGAGCACTCGCTTTCTTCGGTGCGGGTCTTGCCTCCGTCTCCATTTCTCTCCGGGTGGCGGCGGCCAAATCGGCCTTCGCCTTCTCCAAGTCCGGGTCCTTCGGTGGTGGCCTCTGCTTAGACCTTGGGGTTGCGACCACTTCCACAACCTCCACCTCCTCATCGAATGTCATATCCGGGTAAACTTCCACCTCAATCATTCTCCGTTTGCGCAGCGAAGCCCGAGATGTGCTGGGCTCGCTTCCTACCGCAGCGCCGTCCTCTGAGTATAGTGAGAGTGACGAGTCAGAGCGCTCCATGTAGTACTCCGCCTCGTCACACTCACTTCGACTCCTCCGATCTAACTCCACGTCCCTCATCATCACCACTTTCATCTCTCCTCTTCCCTTCACTCCCACTCCTCTGGCCTCAGTTGCCCCCTCCAGATACACGGGGCTGACCGCCCCCGGCTTACCCGGTGCGACGGTGGAGGATTCTCCACCCGATTTACGGGTGGTACCTCCCTGGAGTATTTTGTTTTTCCTGTCGGCCATTTCATCTGTTTCCTTTTTTACCCGGGTCTGGTCCCGCATACAAAATAGAAAAGGAAAACGAAGAACAAAATAAAACTATAGAAAAGAAGAAAGGACAGAAAAGAACAGACAAAACAAAACAAAACAACAAAAAGAACAAAATATAAAACGAAGAGAAAATAAAAGAAGACTAAAAAGAAGAAGAAGAAATATTTACAACACTAAACTAACTATTTACAAATAAATAACTTAACCAACCTTTTTTTTTTTTTTTTTTTTTTTTTTTTTTTTTTTTTTTTTTTTTTTTTTTTTTTTTTTTTTCACGTCAGGAAAATCCATCATGGAGAACCATTCCCTTAGGGAAGAATGGATACTGCCGGACTCCTACCTGCTAAAAACCTGACGACTGTTCCTCCTCGACATAATCGCCGTGGCCATGGGATACGCAAAGCATTCACCAAGACCACCGGCATGGTTCCCATCGAAGGGACCTCCATCTAGGCGTGCAGGGAACAGTCTCTGCACGCCACCTCCAGACCCTAAAACCTCCCCGGCGAGCTTCGGATTGCCCTAACAATCCTCCACCCTAGGGTCAATTTTGGAGTCGATGCACACCTGATTTTACTCAAGTGTCCATCGACTCCCCCCCCCACCTGTGGCCCGTGCCGCGGCTCGGGCCTTTGGCGGGCGACACTGGTTTGTGACGCCCACTCTATGGTCGGACTTGCGACCCGCCGCGGCACAGTACCGGCATTTCGGTGATGGCGCGGCGCACCGTGCGGCCTTATGGCCGGGCTCGCTGCAGCGGAAACAAATTCCGCTGCTGTCTTCCCCGGCGGTGCATCGGATACCCACATGGCCTGTAAGTAGGCACCGATAGCACCGCTGAGGACGCGGGTCCAGCGACTGTACCCGCGCCATCACCCACCCTATCTTTAGTCGGCCGGCCTCGGCTAGCTTCCTCGCGGCGGCTACAGGGCACCGCACCCACACGGAGCCCGTACCCTGGGAGTTGCGCCGGATTTCCCCGGTTTTCACCGAGGACTCCAGGCAACCCCCCTCGCGCATCACAGCGACGACCACGTCAGCTACCAGCACCGAGTCGTCCAGGTCTCCGATCCTCAGTTCGGCCGACTTGACTGGCCTGGAGACCCGGACTGCGTCCTCGGGCAGGACCTCCTCGATTCTGGCAGCCAACGCGTCTGCCACCTCGCCTGTGTTTGCGCCAGGGATTTCCAGGATACGAGCCCCGGTTCTTCCCACTCGGAACCTCAGGTCGGTGATACCGAGCTGGGCCAAGGAAATCTTGGCTTTCGCTTCGGTGAGCACCGACCTGTAGGTGACGCCTCTCTCCTCGGCTCCCGGCCTCATGGTGAGAACCACCGCCGATGACCGAGGAGGGCGTGCTTTCGCCTTCTTCTTCCGAGCGGGTTCGTTCCGCTGCGGTGCCGCTGTTTGGCCACCACGTGGCCCCTTCGCTGGGCGCGCATTGGCGGGAGCCGCCTGGCCTGCGCCAGCGCCTTTGCGCTTGCCGCGCCGTACAACCGTCGACCATCCCTCCTTGTTTGCTGAGGTCGACGGTTGCGGGACTCCTCCTCGCTGGGCTCCCCGACCTGCGGGACCCTATCGGCCGCTGCACCGGATGATCCGGCAGTAGGCGTACTCTTGGCGGCCTTTTGTGGCCGCGTTCTCTTCGCCGAGATCCTCTCCTCCATCTCGGCGAAGCGGGTGTTCATTATTTCGCCTACTCGCCGGATAATCCGGTCTTCGGCGTCCTCCGTCAGGGTCCGGGGCGTGGCACCTTGCGGCGCTTCCGCCGTGGTCCCCGAGATGACCACTGGAGGCAGCTCGGCAGCGGTTTTGGCCTCATCCAATTGCCGCAGCGCTTTATGAAGGGCGGCGCGGTCGAGAGCGTTCGAGTCCTTGAGCTCCTTCAACTGTCGAACGCTGTCGCGCGCCTGCCGCTCCCACTCCTCGCGCTCCGCCTTCAACGCGGCCAGTTCTTCGGCCAGCGCGGCGGAAGACTGCGACGCCATCTGGAGCTGTCGGAACTTCTTCCTCTCCTCGACAGACTCCTTCAGCATCGCAGCCTTCATCTCCCGGACCTCGTCCAACTCCTCACGGAGTTTGCGGACCTCCCGCCTGAGGGCTTCCTCCTCCGGGTTTGACGACCTTTGCCTCAGGGCACCCGACGCCGATCGGATGGTGTGGATGGCGCGGTTGATCTCTCCGACTATAGTGCCCTTCAGGTTGCTGGACTTTCTGACTGCAGCAAGGACCTGAAGGGCACTATTTTCCACCTTGGCGCCCAGCTCGTCGGCGCCCAATGTGGCATTCTCCTCCGAGTCTCTTCGGACGCGCGAGACGGACCTGGACGATTCGGGTCCAGAGGCCGAAACCCCTGTCTCCGATCGCGCCGCAGACTTGGCCGTTCGCGCTCCCCTCTTGGCCGTTGGAGGGCCCCTGGCCCTGCTCCTCCGTGCAGCAGATGACAGCTGCACGTGGTCGGCTTCATCGTCATCGGAGTCCAGCTCCTCCTGACCTCTCTCTGCGATCCTCCTCTTTCGATGTTTCTTGGGGGGCGAGGTACTCCCTCTCGCCTCCCCAAGGTTGTCATCGGACCGGAATGACATTGAGGACCCTGTGCATTCCGAGTCCATGTCCGCTACGTGCAGTTCGAGGGCCTCCAGGTAACTAACGGCCCCGTACTTCCGTATCAGCTCCTTCTGATACCTCTCCTCATCGCTGCCCGTGTCCCCCCCAGAGTACGTGGGACGGCCCACCCCCGGCGAATCCGGTGCGGTGGGGGAGGATTCTCCGGCCGCAGAGCGACCGGTACCTCCCTGGGGTAATATACTTTTTCGTTCAGCCATGATGATGATTTTCCTTTTTACGGGTGTGGTCCCGACCTCCTGCCACCAACGACGAAGAAAGAAAAAGAAAATAACCAAAAGACAGAAAAGGCAAAAGACAGAAAAAAAGACAGACAACAACCAAAACAAACTAAAACCAAAACAAACAAATTTGAACACAAAGAAGGAGAACAAAACAACCGAACCAAAAGAAGAAGAACAAAAACAAAAGAAAAACGAAGAGGAAGTTGGGGGGTTCGCCGGCTCCGGCAGCCTCGACTTTGTCGAGGCATGGGAACCGCGAACACGCCCAACCTGCCGGGCTACTGGCCGACATAGTAGCCGTATCCCGAAGGAACGACTACTATCCCGCCCGGGGCGTACCAGAACCAAACCATTGCTCGGCCACCGTTCCCCGCGGACGTATCCACGAGGATGGGGAAGCCTCCCAATGGCAGGCCCATACTAGGAGGTTGCCCGACCCACGCCCCAACTTAACCAACCTAACTTTTTTTTTTTTTTTTTTTTTTTTTTTTTTTTTTTTTTTTTTTTTTTTTTTTTTTTTTTTTTTTTTTTTTTTTTTTTTTTTTTTACAAGGGGAAATCCGTCATGGAGACCCGCACGCCCCGGGGGAAGCGTGGGGGTACTGCCGGACTCCTACCGGCTAAAACCCCTTGGTGTCCTCCGAGCGCTTTGGTGCCGGGGTTACGGGATCGAAACATTCAACCGTGATCCCCGGCAGCGCGGGCTCTTCAGCCCCACTCCTGAGTGGCGCACGCGGACACCACGCGCGCCAACTCCTGGCCTCATCCCGCCTTAGGTGACAGCCGACGCCCCCGCATCGACTGCCGCGAGGCCCGTGGTGGGAGGTGACGGGCCGGGCTCGGCCTCCATCTCCTCCACTCTCGCCGCCTGTTTGGGCGGACGGCACCCCTTGGTGCTGCCCATCCTGTGGTCCGCCTTCTTCTTGGCCGCTGCACAGTATGGGCAATGCGGCGAAGGGGCGGCGCACGATGCGGCCTTGTGGCCGTCTTGACCGCAGCGGAAACAGACTCCGCCGCGGTCCTCCTTGGCGGTGCACCGCTGGCCCACGTGACCCGTGAGCAGGCAGCGGTAGCACCGCATCGGCCGGGGGTCTAAGGACCGCACCCGCGCCATCGTCCACCCCACTTTCAGGCGGCCAGCATCGACTAACCGCTTTACCGTCCCTATCGGGCACCGGACCCAGACAGAGCCACTCCCTGAGGGAGAGCGCCGGATCTCCCCCGTTTTTACGGAGGCCTCGGCGCAATCTCCCTCTCGCACTATTGCTGCCACCACGTCGACTATCGTTGTAGCGTCGTCTAGGTCCAGTATGCGAATTTCCGCGGACTTCACTGGCCTGGTTACGCCGACTACTCCTGCCGGTAGGATCTCGGCAAGTTTTGCAGCGAGGGCATCTGCCTTTCCGCCGCTCTCCTCTACAGGGCCCGGCACCTCTAGAATGCGGGATCCCGTCACTCCCAGCCTGAAGCCCAACTCGGTGATCCCGAGGGCGTCCAACTGAATCTTTTGTTGGGCCTCTCGGAGCACCGAGGTATAGCTCGATCCCGCCTCCGCAGCTCCCGGCTTCAGCGTTAACACTACCGCCGAGGAGCGCGGTTGGCGGAACTGTCTCTTCCGAGCGTTCTTCTTTTTGGTGGCCTCTTTACGGGCCTCCGTTGTAGCCTCCTTCTGGGCTTGTCTCGCCCCTCCAGTGGGCGCCTGGGTGGCTGGGGCTATCTCCTTGCCCTTTGCCGCCCTTGCGCGTTTCCCACGACGGACGACCGTCGTCCACTGCTCCTTTGTTGAGGGAGGCGGTTGAGAAGCACTCGCCCCCGCTCTACTGGTGCTGGCTATTGGTGTCGCACCTCCTTCTTTGCTGGCTGCCCCAGGTGTTCGGGGTGCAGCCGCAGGTCGTTTCGGCGCCGGGTTCTTTGGCCTGCCGACAAGCTCCTCTATTCTTTCGAACCGGGCATTAAATATATCCCCGATTTGCCGCACTATCCTAGTCTCGATGCTCTCGGTGATCACCGGCGCTTCTGCACACGGTTCAGCACCTAGAGCATCGGGAGACACATCCATGGCCGGGGACTCCGGCTGAGTCGCCAACGCAGCTTGAGCTGCCATCAAATCGCTTTGCGCCTTACGCAGCGCTGAGCGGTCCTCCGCACTCTTTTTCAAGAGCTCCTCAAAGGAGCTTCGGGTCGCTGCCATCTCGCGTTCCCATTCCGCCTTTTCCGCCTTGAGCATGGAAAGCTCATCTATGCTCTTGGCGGGGGATGCCATTGCCATCTTAAGGGCCTTCAGCTCCTTATAGTACTTGGCACACTCCTCGCGCATGCCCGTCATCATCTCTCTCATCTCCGCTAGGTCATTAGACAGCCGAGAGTTCTCCCTGCGCAGAGCTGCGCACTCGACTGTCGCGGATCTCTCCGTAAGAGTCGCGGCCGCCGTGCGGATGGTCGTCACGGCGTCCTTGATCTCTTTCACTATTGTGCCCTTCAGGTGGCCGGATCTCTTCACGGCTTCCAGAACCTTCCGGGCACACTCCTGAATCTCCTCGCCTAAAACGTCGGCGCGCTGCATATCCTCAGCTGAGGTTCTGCGGGTAGTTGGGCGCACCGGCGCCGGCGGTATTTGGGCGGCTGCTACTGCGGCTGTTGCCTTCTTTCCCACGTCACGTCCGGTGGTGGCGGCCAGATTGGCTTTCGCCTGCGTCAAATCCTTAGGGTGAGGCCTCTTTGGCCTTGGAGTCGCGACCACTTCCACGACCTCCACCTCCTCGTCAAATTCCAATTCCGGATTCATCTCAACTTCCACCATTCTTCTCTTGCGCAGCGAAGCCCGAGATGATCTGGGCTCGCTTCCTCCTACAGCGCCATCCTCAGAGTACAGTGAGAGTGACGAGTCGGAGCGCTCCATGTAGTACTCTGCCTCGTCACACTCACTCCTGCATATCCTGTCCAAGTCCAGGTCTCTCACTACTACCACTTTCATCTCTCCTGTCTCCACTTCTCCCCCTCTTCTGGCCTCGGTTGCCCCCTCCAGATACATGGGGCTGACCGCCCCCGGCTTACCCGGTGCGACGGTGGAGGATTCTCCACCCGATTTACGGGTGGTACCTCCCTGGAGTATTTTGTTTAGACGCTCGGCCATTTTCATCTTTTGTTCCTTTTTTACCCGGGTCTGGTCCCGCATACAAATAGAAAAAGGAAGAAGAAAACAAAACAAAACTACAGAAAAGAACAAAGGACAGGAAAGAATAGATAAAAACAACTAAAAACAAACAAAATAAAATGAAGAAAAAAACAAAACAAGACAAAACAAGAAGAATTTACAAAACTAACCTAACTATTTACAAATAAATACTTAACCTAACTATATACACTATATACACTCCTACCTACTCGCCGGACTATCGGCCGACATAGTAGCAGTATCCCGAAGGAACGTCTACTATCCCGCCCAGGGCGTACCAGAACCAAACCATTGCTCGGCCACCGTTCCCCGCGGACGTATCCACGAGGATGGGGAAGCCTCCCAATGGCAGGCCCATACTTGGAGGTTGCCCGACACACGCCCCAACTTAACCAACCTAACCTAACCTAACCTAACCTAACCTAACCTAACCTAACCTAACCTAACCTTTTTTTTTTTTTTTTTTTTTTTTTTTTTTTTTTTTTTTTTCATCAGGAAAATCCGTCATGGAGACCCATTCGCCATAGGGGGCGAATGGGTACTGCCGGACTCCTACCGGCTAAAAAACCTGATGGTATACCTCTCAGCCCGTGTCGGGCGAGGTCGCGGGAACAGAGAAACATTCTTCCGCTTCCCCGCCCTGGGCTCGGATGGACACTCCCGGAAGGCGCCGCGGGGTATACGCCGGGCGCCTCCGCTCGGGCCACTGACCTTCTCGGAGCTTTGGATGGCCCTACCCATCCGCCGCTCTGTGGCCCAAGTTGGATTAGATGGACCCTAAGTGTCCATCCTCTCCCCTTCACTTCCGCCGACCGGCGCGGGTGCACGGGCCTTCGGAGCGCGGCATTGCTTTCCGCTGCCTATCCGGTGGTCGGCATCACGACCAGCCGCCGCGCAATACCGACAATGCGGCTTCGGCGCGACGCACGACGCGGCCTTGTGACCGGCCTGTCCGCAGCGGAAGCACATGCCGCCGCAGTCCTCTCTCGCAGTGCACCGCTGTCCCACATGCCCCGTGAGAAGGCAGCGGTAGCACCGCAGTGGCCTCGGGTCTAAGGAAAACACCCGCGCCATCGTCCACCCAATTTTGACCCTGCCGGCATCGACGAGGGCCTTTGCAGCTGCCACAGGGCAGCGCACCCATAAGGTGCCCACACCTGAGGAAGTGCGACGGATTTCCCCCGACTTAACGGTTTCCACCGTGCACTTCCCCTCCCGCGCGACCGCGGCAACAACTTCAGCCACTGTGGCCGAGTCGTCCAGGTCTCCGATTCGTAATTCGGCCGATTTTGTCGGCCTGGAGACCCGGACGGACCCTTCTGGCAAGACGGAGGCCAGCTTGTCGGCCAGCAAGTCTGCTTTCTCACCGGAGTCGCCTGGCACCTCAAGGATGCGCGCTCCGGTGATGGCCGGCTTGAACTTTAGCTCGGTTATCCCGAGCTCCGCGAGAGAAATCTTATCTTTCGCCTCGCGGAGCACCGAGCTATAAGTCATCCCCCCCTTTTCGGCTTCCGGCTGAATTGTCAGAACAATCGCCGATGAGCGGGGGGGACGCAGCCTTCTCTTCTTCGGCTTGGCCGATTCGTTTGTCGCCTGTATGGGGGCCGCCTGAGCGGCCGGCGCCTTCTGACTTTTTGTCGCCGCAGAGCCCTTCTTGCCCCGCCGTACGACCGTCGACCACCCCTCCTCTGCTGTACTTGTCGACGGTTGCTGGGAGAGGCCAGCGCTCGTGCTGGCGACCGGAGCTGGTTGATCCGTGGCCTCCTTTTTCTTGTTTGCCGCGGCCCTAGCTGCTGGAGTTTTGGGCGGCGGCTGCACTGTCCTTGGGACGTCCTGCTTGGGAGGCGTCTTCTTTTTCTCCTTTTTCTTCCCTTTTTGGGGAAGTGCCTCCTCTAGTTTGGCAAATCGGGCGTTGAACATCTCCCCGATTTGCCTCACTATGCGACCCTCCATGTCGTCACTCGGTGTCGGGAGCACCGGTGGGTCGCATGACGTCACCTCCATCTTCTCCGGGGCTGGCGGTGCGGCTGCCGGAGTCGGCTCTGCTGAGTTTTGGGAAGCACTCCGCTGTGCCTTCCTCAGCGCCACGTTACCCGCCAAGACCTTCTGCCTGAGCTCCACATTGTCCTTGACGTAGCGGTCCAATTGTGCCTCCAATTCTGCGTTCTCCTGCTTGAGCCGGCCAACTTCCGTCGGGTCCGGCCCAGGTGTCACCCCTCGCTTTTTAAGTCCGCGGAGTTCCGCAATCTCCTTGTCCATCTGCGCGAACTCAACGCGGAATCCCGCCATCATTTCTTTTAGGTCAAAGACCTCCTTCTCTAGGCGGGAGTTGGCGGCCCTAAGGCGCGCACACTCCGCCGTCGCAGACCTGCTCACTAGGACGTCCGAGGCCCGACGAATCGAGGCAACGGCGTCCTTTATTTCTTTAATCACGCTCCCCTTAAGGTTGCCTGATCGGCGTATGGCCTCTAGAATTTGGTGCGCTTCAGCATCGACCTGCTTCCCCAAGTCCTCTGCGTGGCGCAACTCCTCCTCCTGTGATGGACGACGGAACGCCGGACGCGCCGCCGGTTTCTTCGACGACGCATCTGACCCGTCATCCGAGTCCGTCTTTGCGTTTACGGGCGTTGCCCGCCTACGCTTCCTCTGGCCAGGTTTTGGCACGTCTCTGCTCAGTGCCGCTTCGAGCTCCGAGTACAGCGACAAAGATGAAGCTGTAAGCTCGGAGTCGAAATCCGTATCCGGGTGTGCGCTTAAGGACTGTGAGACACTAGGTCCCGGCCCCGGAGCGCTTTGTCCTGTCCCTGTGACGCCGCCTATCGACGCACTCCTGCTGCGAGTCAGTCTGACCGCGCACTCTTTCATCACTACGTCCTTCACGGACCCACTCGGTGCTCCGTCCTTCGCGGACACTCTTCGATCGCCGTCCTTCGCGGACCCACTTCGTACACCGTCCTTCACGGACCCAACATCGGAGTTTTTTATTTTTGCTTCCATTTTGTTCCCACGAGTGTGGGGGAAAGGTTGCACAGCCGGCGTTGCCCCCTGCTACCGACTGCGGCCTAATACACTTTGGGTGCGGCTGGTGCCCAAAGGTTGGTGCCCTTGCGGCCGGAGTTACTCCTCCGACCCGGCCGCCCCGGAGAACACGCTAACTGAAACGAATTCCAGCAGCGTGCTCCGCGTGACGACCTGTCCCTCGCCAGGCACCGAGCTTAGACAAGAGGTTTTTTATAGAGGTTGACTCCTCGCGGCCCCGGGCAATTAAGCCAAGAGCCCCCGCTCCTACACTGGGCCGATAGACGTGATCACCGACACCCAGTGCAAGTTTACGGTTTGAAGTCAGTTGCACCGAAGTGCTGTCCGGCTGCGCAGTTAAGCACCCACCGGACCTGACTTGCCAGTAGGCAAAGAAGAAAAAGAAGAAACGAAAACAGAATGACAGAAAAGATTAAAAGAGAAAGAAAGAGAAAGACGAAAACAGAAAAGAGAAAAGATTAGCCTACTCCTACTCGCCGGACTATCGGCCGACATAGTAGCAGTATCCCGAAGGAACGTCTACTATCCCGCCCAGGGCGTACCAGAACCAAACCATTGCTCGGCCACCGTTCCCCGCGGACGTATCCACGAGGATGGGGAAGCCTCCCAATGGATGGCCCATACTTGGAGGTTGCCCGACTCACGCCCCAACCTAACCTAACCTAACCTAACCTTTTTTTTTTTTTTTTTTTTAACGTGTGGAAAATCTTCAAAAGACCGTCACCTCGCCGGAGGGATGGCGAGGTGGTGTGTGAGACTTGACTCACTAAAAACCACACGGTGTACCTACGAGCGCCTATGCCGGAGCCAGGGGATTCGCGAGTGCATTCTACCCCAGCTCCGACGGCGACGGCCCGCCCTGTAGATGTTGTAGGGCAGGCCCCATCTCGTTTTGTGGTTAGGGCGACCTATTTCGCCCTACTCCATTGTGGAGGCGTGTGGGTACACGCGCACACCTCCGGGGCCTTTGGATTGGGGGACTGCCTCCCTCAAGGCAGTCACCCCGGCCCCAGTGGGGGATAGAGGGGGCGGAGTTGGGTACGCCCCCACCTCTAGGCCTGGCTCTTCTGCGGCGGAGGGAAGCGGGACGATAAGACTCCCGCTCCCTTTCCGCCGCCTCCTTCCGCGAGATAACTTCCTCGCAGAAGGAGCTCACCGCCAGCCACGATCTCTCGCTACTGATCATCCTCCGAACTAAATTCGGCAGCGAGAGATCGTCCCCCACTATTCGTGTGAGGACACGGCGCTCACTCTCGAACGCTGGACATTCGTCCAGCGTGTGTTGCGCCGTGTCCTCCACACCTCCGCACTCGTGGCAGCCGGTCGTCGGCTCCTTCCTCGCCACATGACACAGATACCGCCCGAAGCACCCGTGCCCGGACAGTATCTGTGTCATGCGGTACGTCAGTGGCCATCTCCTATTCATCCATCTTTTGAGGATGGGACGGACAGCCTCGACGGTCCTCAGGCCGGCCGATGGACTGGCCAGCCTTTCTCTCCACCTGATCCTGAGGATCCGCCGAAAGTCGGACCTCCGCGCTTCGATCTCATGACCAGCGGGTGCCTCCCCCATGGAACGTCGCTCCGCGCGCCAGTGGTACACTGACGCGTGGAGCTCCGCTACCAAGTCCCACGGAGGAGACCCCGCCAGCAGACCCGCCGCCTCCCCGGATATGGTGCGGTAGCCTCTAATGGCCCTGATGGCCATGGCCCTGTGTGGCCTGTTAAGACAGGCCACATTTTCCCTACCTAGGGCCCCCACCCAGATGGGGGCCCCGTACAGGGCCATGGACCGCACCACACCGAGGTATAAGCGGCGGGAACCTTCTCCCGGGCCCCTCACATTTGGCAGCAGCCAGCTAAGTGCGCCGGCGGCTGCCATAAGGCGAGGGACCAGGTTCCGGAAATGAGCGCGGAAGCTCCAACGACTGTCCAGGTCAAGCCCCAAATACCTAATACAGGGCTTGACCCCCACCCTCTGGCCACTGACGACCAGCTGGGCATCCGGAGGTGGCGCGCGCCGAGGCCCATGAAAACATAGGACCTCGGTCTTCTCCAGCGCCACCTGGAGCCCAAGCCTCCTTATTCGGCCGACGACCAGCGCCACGCTTGCCGTGGCAAAGCGGGTAGCCTCCCGTAGGTCCCGCCCCCGGGCAGTGACCAAGGTGTCATCCGCGTAACACACGAGGTCAGTGCCCGTTAAAAGGGCGCCCCGCAGGTTCCAATCATACCCGATGTTCCACAGGATCGGGCCCAGAACCGATCCCTGTGGAACACCGCGTTGCATTTCCCTCGACACTACAACGCCGTTCCGCCCCGTGCAGAGCACAGACCTGTCTTCGAGATAGGCCCCGATCACGTCCCGAATGTAGGGAGGCGCGCGATGGTACTGCAGCGCCTCCCTAATAGTCGCAAAGGGCAGGGTGTTGAAGGCGTTCTTTATGTCCAACGAGACCGCCAACAACACCCCACCCTGGGACGTCGCCTCTTCCGAGAGGGAGCGCACACGCGAGATCGCGTCTATCGTCGAGCGCCCCTCTCGGAACCCGAACTGCTTCGGGCTGAGATCGGGACCTACCTGAGACAGGTGTTGGACGAGTCGGCCCGCCAAGATTCTCTCGAAGAGCTTGCCGATCTCGTCCAACAGCACTATGGGGCGGAACGCCGAGGGAACCACCGAACCTGCAGGGTGCTCCGCTTTGCGGAGCAGGACCACTCTACCCGCTTTCCACTGGTTGGGAAACCGTCCCGACTCCAGACACGCGTTGAACAAGCGCCGGAGTCGGTCCCCTAGGGTGTTTAGGGCCAAGGCCAGGACGCGGCCGTGACCGCGACCACGCGCGCCTACTCCTAGCCTCACCCTCCTTAGGTGACGGCAGACGCCCCCGCATCTGCCGCCGAGAGACTCTGGGTCGGCGGCGATGGGCCGGACTCGGCCTCCATCGCCTCCGTCTCCTCCGCCCGCGCCTGTGCGCGGCTTCCTCGCGAGCATGCTTTACCGCTGCCCACGGCATGATTCGCCGGACGTCCCGCCGCTGCGCAATAGACGCAGTGCGGCGGGGCAGTGCAACCAGCAGCCTTGTGACCCTCTCCGCCGCAACGGAAGCAGGCCAGACTGCGGTCAACCGCCGATTTGCACTGCGTGCCCACGTGCCCTTGCAGTAGGCAGCGGTAACAGCGCATGGGTTTCGGGTCTAGCACCGTTACGTGCGCCGAAACCCATCCCACTCGTAAGCGGCCCTCCGCTTGGAGCTTCTTGGCAGCCACCATTGGGCAGCGAACCCAGGTAGCCGCATTGCCCGACTCGGATCGGCGGACTTCCCCCGCCTTCACCTCCTGCTCCGCGCAGCCACCGTAACGCGCCACTGCAGCGACAACATCCGTTGGTGTGGCCGTGTCGTCCAGGCCCACGATCCTGAGATCCGCCGTCTTCACAGGACGGGAGACCTGGACCACCTCCGCGGGCAGGACCTCCCTGAGCTTCTCAGCGAGGGAGTCCGCCTTATCACCGCTAGCGGCTCCTGGCAGCTCCAGGATTCGCGCGCCAGTGATGGCCTGCCTGTAGTGGAGCTCCGTGATCCCTATGCTCTCCAGGGACACTTTCTCCTTGGCTTCCCTGAGAAGGGCCGCATAGGTTACTCCTTTCTCGGCAGCCCCGGGCTGCAGCGACAAAACCACCGCCGCAGATCGGGGCGGCCTGAGTCTGGGCTTCCTCCTCTTTCCCGCGGTCGCAGCCTTTTGGGGCGGCGATTTAGTCTCCGCAGGTTTCTTTGCCGCCTTTTTGCCCTGGCTCATCGCGCCACGACGAGCCACGGTCACCCAGCTCTCCGTCATTGCTCGGGGAGCGGGCGCCGGCTCCTGTACTCCAATAGGAGCAGCCTGACTAACAGCTGCCGGTGCAATAGCAGCCGGTGCAGGAGCCGTCGCCTTTCCTCTACCCTTGCCTTTCGGTCCAGCCGAACCGCTCGCCCGCACAGCAGGCGCAGTTGGTGTAGGCCTCGCTTCCGGGACCGGAGGGAGCCGCTCCTCGATTCTCGCCAGGCGAGTGTCGAGGCGGCTCTCCAACCTCCGGGCTATGCGGTCCTCCAATTGTTCTAGGGCCTTGGGCCCAACCGCCAGTTCTCCACTTTGTGCAGGGCCTCCGGCGGCGGAAGTCGATGGACTGACGGCCGCCTGCACCTGCGCATCCTTCAGTGCAGCCCGGAGCTCAAGGATCTCCTGGCTAATCCTCTGATTCTCGGCCCTTTGGCCGGCCACTTGTCCCTCCAGGCTCGCGACCTTCGCGGCCAGGACCGTATTCTCCTTTGTGACCGACCTATTCTTTAATAAGTCGGCCGCATCCCTTATGGCCTCCACGGCATCCTTGATGTCCCGGATCGTGGTGCCTTTAAGGTTTCCGCACTTCTTTACTGTGACGGTGATGATGTCCGCACAGGCCTCTATCTTGCTTCGGAGCGCATCCGCCGTCCACTGGAGCTTCATAGGGTCTCCACCCCAAGTGGCACGAATCACTCCGAGCCTTTGGTCAAAATTTCTTTGCCCCTCCAAAACCGCAGCCTTCATGGCCTCGATGCGGTCTTCATGGCCTCTGCCTTCTCGCTCACCCTCTGAATCCGAGTTGGAGCGCTTACGTTGGCGTTTTCGCCTCGTGCGCTTTTTCTCGCCGTCACTGCTGGCGTCTTCGCTGCCTGTAAAGAGGGACAGCGTCGACCCAGTAACGTCGGACAGGTCCTCCTCCATGAGAATGTCGTACCTCCCGGTACTGAGGACGTTCTCTAACTCCCCTCTGTCTAGCCTTACCCTAAGCTCCTTCTCAATTCCTATGTCTTCCATATTTACACCCCTAACACCTGTCTCTTCCCTGGTCTCTCTCCTTTCTCCTTTCTTCCCTCCCTTCTGGCCTTTCTTGTCCCCCCCAGAATACGTGGGACTGACCGCCCCCGGCTTACCCGGTGCGACGGCAGAGGATTCTCCACCCGATGAACGGGTGGTACCTCCCTGGGGTAATCCTTTTTTCAGATCAGCCATGTCATCGTTTGTGTCCTTTTTTACCCGGGTCTGGTCCCGCATACAAAATAGAAAAGGAAAAGGAAAAACAAAACAAAATTACAGAAAAGAACAAAGGACAGAAAAGAATAGACAAATAAACAACTAAAAGAAACAAAAATAAAATGAAGGAAAAACAAAAGAAGACAAAAGTAGAAGACACTAACCTAACTATATACAAATAAATAACCTAACCTAACTATTTACACTATTTACAGAATTGGACGAGCGCCGAATACGACACCCGCCCCCTAACCTACTCGCCGGACTATCGGCCGACATAGTAGCAGTATCCCGAAGGAACGTCTACTATCCCGCCCAGGGCGTACCAGAACCAAACCATTGCTCGGCCACCGTTCCCCGCGGACGTATCCACGAGGATGGGGAAGCCTCCCAATGGCAGGCCCATACTTGGAGGTTGCCCGACTCACGCCCCGCCCCGGAACCTTTTTTTTTTTTTTTTTTTTTTTTTTTTTTTTTTTTTTTTTTTTAACAAGGGGAAATCCGTCATGGAGACCCGCACGCCTCGGGGGAAGCGTGGGGGTACTGCCGGACTCCTACCGGCTAAAACCCCTTGGTGTCCTCCGCTCGCTGCTAGCGCCAGGGTCACGGGATCGACGTAGCAGTCCACCGCGACCCCGGCAGCGCAGGCTCTGCAGCCTCCTCCTCGAGTGGCGCGCGCGGACACCACGCGCGCCTACTCCCAGCCTCACCCTCCTTAGGTGACGGCAGACGCCCCCGCATCTGCCGCCGAGAGGCTCTGGGTCGGTGGTGACGGGCCGGGCTCGGCCTCCATCGCCTCCGACTCCTCCGCCCGCGCCGTTGCGCGGCTTCCTCGCGAGCAGTTCTTACCGCTGCCCACTGAGTGATTCGCCGGACGTCCCGCCGATGCGCAATAGACGCAATGCGGCGGGCTTGTGCAACCAGCAGCCTTGTGGCCTTCTCCACCGCAGCGGAAGCAAGCCTGACTGCGGTCCACCGCCGACTTACACTGTGCACCCACGTGCCCCTGCAGTAGGCAGCGGTAACAACGTGCGGGCTTCGGATCTAGCACGGTAACATGCGCCGAAACCCATCCCACCTTAATGCGGGCCTCCGTCTCGAGCTTTTTGGCGGCCACCACTGGGCAACGAACCCATGCAGCCGCAGTGCCCGACGCCGATCGGCGGATCTCCCCCACCTTGATGTCCTGCTCCGCGCAGCCACCACTCCGAGCCACAGCGACGACGACATCCGCCGGTGTGGTCGTGTCGTCCAGGCCCACTATCCTCAAGTCCGCCGTCTTCACCGGACGAGAGACCTGTACGACCTCCGCGGGCAGGACCTCCCTGAGCTTTTCGGCAAGGGAATCCGCCTTGTCACCACTAGCGGCGCCTGGCAGCTCCAGGATTCGCGCACCAGTGATGGCCTGCCTGTAACGAAGCTCCGTTACGCCGATATCCTCGAGGCACACCTTGTCTTTCGCTTCCCTGAGTAGGGCCGCGTATGTCACCCCTTTCTCGGCTGCCCCGGGCTGCAGCGATAAAACTATCGCCGCAGATCGGGGAGGCCTGAGTCTCGGCTTCCTCTTCTTTTTACCCGCGGTCGCTGCCTTTTGGGGCTGCGATTTAGTCGCCGCGGGTTTATTTGCCGCCTTCTTGTCCGGGTTTTTTGCGCCACGCCGAACCACGGTCACCCAGTTCTCCGTCGCTGCGCGGGGAGCGGGCGCCGGCTCCTGTACTCCAATAGGAGCAGCCTGACTAGTAGCTGCCGGTGCAATAGCAGCCGGTGCAGGAGCCGACGCCTTTCCTCTTCCTTTTCCTTTGGGCCCAGCCGAGCCGCTCGCCCGTACAGCAGGCGGTGTTGTTGTGGGCCTCACCACTGGCGCCGGAGGGAGTCGCTCCTCTATTCTCGCCAGGCGAGCGTCGAGTCGGTTCTCCAACCTCCGGGCTACGCGGTCCTCCAGTTCTTGTAGGGCCTCGTGCCCTACCGCCTCTAATTGAGCAGGGTTTCCGGCGGCGGACATCGATGGCCCGACAGTCACCTGCGCCTGTGCCTCCCGCAATGCAGTCCGGAGCTCGAGGATCTCCTGGCTGATCTTCTCGTTTTCGGCCTTCTGGCCGACAACCTGCCCCTCGAGACTTGCGACTTTCGCGGCCAGGACGGAATTCTCCTTGGCGACCGACCTGTTCTTGAGGATGTCGGCCGCATCCCTGATGGCATCCACAGCATCCCTGATGTCCCGGATGGTGGTGCCCTTGAGGTTCCCGCACTTTTTAATGGTGACATTGACTATGTCAGCACAGGCCTCTATTTTACTGCGGAGCGCATCCGCCGTCCACTGGAGCTTCATGGGATCTCCACCCCAAGTGGCACGGATGACCCCGATCCTCTCATCGAAGTTTTTCTGGCCAGCCTTAACCGCGGCCTTCATGGCTTCGATACGGTCCTCTGTCACCCTGGCTCGAGCACCTTCACTTTCACCCTCGGAGTCAGAGCGTGAGCGCTTGCGTTGGCGCTTTCGCCGACCGCGCTTTCTCTCCGCATCACTGTTGCCGTCTTCGCTTCCTGTAAATAGGGAAGTCGTCGACCCTGTCAAATCCGATAAGTCCTCTTCCATGAGGATATCGTACCTACCGGTACTGAGCACACTCTCCAGTTCTCCCCTTTCCAGCATCACCCTGAGCTCTCTCTCCGATGTTAACTCCCTCCTAGACTCACTCCTCTCTCCCTTCTTCCCCCCCTTCTGGCCTTTCTTGTCCCCCCCAGAATACGTGGGACTGACCGCCCCCGGCTTACCCGGTGCGACGGCAGAGGATTCTCCACCCGATGAACGGGTGGTACCTCCCTGGGGTATTCCTTTTTTGAGATCAGCCATTTTCATCGTTATTCCTTTTTTACCCGGGTCTGGTCCCGCACACAAAACGGAAGAAAGAAAACGAAGAAACAAAACAAAATTACAGAAAAGAACAAAGGATAGAAAAGAATAGACAAATAAACAACTAAAAGAAACAAAATAAAACGAAGACAAAAGAAAAGAAGACAAAACTAGAAGACACTAACCTAACTATATACAAATAAATAACTTAACCTAACTATTTACACTATTTACAGAATTGGACGAGCGCCGAATACGACACCCGCCCCCTAACCTACTCGCCGGACTATCGGCCGACATAGTAGCAGTATCCCGAAGGAACGTCTACTATCCCGCCCAGGGCGTACCAGAACCAAACCATTGCTCGGCCACCGTTCCCCGCGGACGTATCCACGAGGATGGGGAAGCCTCCCAATGGCAGGCCCATACTTGGAGGTTGCCCGACTCACGCCCCTCCGCCCCGGAACCTAACCTAACCTAACCTAACCTAACCTAACCTAACCTTTTTTTTTTTTTTTTTTAACGAGGGGAAAGGTTTCAATACCGAAACGTCCGCCTTTATGAAGGGGAGCGGACGAATACTGTGGGACTGGACGAATCCGACCCACCAAAACCCCTCGGTGTTCCTCCAAAAACCACGAAAGACGCCTTCGTGCGGGTTCGCATTTGCATTCGACCGCACTCCGGCCGCGGGTCTCCAGTGAAGGAGCCGCCGAAGTTGGGCGCGGGGACCACTCCACGCCCACACTCCACGGATCACTCGCCTCCTGGGAACTTCGGATGCCCCTACATCTTCCGCTCCGAGTGTCCAAGTTGGGGCTTCGGGTGAAAATACACCTTCCGCCCCCCACGCAAAGGCCGCGATCGCCGCTGCGTTGCGCTAAAAGCGCACCGCAGCCGCGACCGCGTATAGCCTTCCCGCCGGACGGAAGCGGTCCTGAAGGCACCGCTCCGCCCGGTGCCCCGACGGGTCGGGGCGACACACGCATACTTACCTTCGGCGACGTACTCCCTGCGCCGTCAGCAGTCTGCCCACCAAGCCGCACCAAAGCGCAGCCCGGGGATGTCCTCCGCAGATAGGACTCCCGATCTTAACATGTTAAAATCGGGAGCTGCCTACTCGTGAATACTTACCCAGATTCGCGATGCGCCTCCGGGACCGTATCCTCCATAAGCACTACCGCGCCACACGGTTAAACCGTAGGCGACGGTAGTGTTGCCTCCCCGAGTGTTGCCCAGCGTCCGAAGACGCCTAGCAACGATCCTCCCGCTGTCTTCTCACGCCGCGTCGACTCCGTCGTCTGCGGGCGCTCCTCGCCCGGACGACGTCCTCCTCGTCGACAGCCGCGCCGACCGCCAGAGGTTTTTTATAGAGGTTGTCTCCTCGCAGCCCCGAGCGAACCCAGGGCCCCCGTTCTCACACTGGGCGGACGACCACTGTCATCACACCCAGTGCAAGTTTACGGTATGAAGATACACTCGCAGTCTTCGCCAGAGACAACTCCGTCGTCTACGGGCACTCCTGCCCGCAACTCCGTCCTCCTCATGACTCTGACTCCGACCGCGAGAGGTTTTTTATAGAGGTTGTCTCCTCGCAGCCCCGAGCGAACCCAGGGCCCCCGCTCCCACACTGGGCGGACGACCTCCTGTCATCACACCCAGTGCAAGTTTACGGTATGAAGGTACACTCGCAGTCTTGGCCAGAGATAACTCCGTCGTCTACGGGCACTCCTGCCCGCAACTCCGTCCTCCTCATCAATTCTGACGCCGACCGCGAGCGGTTTTTTATAGAGGTTGGCTCCTCGCAGCCCCGGGCGAACCCAGGGCCCCCGCTCTCACACTAGGTGGACGACCTCCTGTCATCATCACCCAGTGCAAGTTTGCGGTGTGAGTCAGTCCGGCTATGCGCAAAGCACCACCGGACCCGACCCGAATGCTTCGCTCACGGCCTGGACGGGTCCCGGTTGGGGTCAGGACCCATTGTCCTAGCCGCTCGCGTCGCCCTCTCGCCGAAATCGGCCTAGGTGGCACGCCACCATAATTGGACGGGCGCCGTTAAACAGCGCCCACCCCCTACTCGCCGGGCTACTGGCCGACATAGTAGCAGTATCCCGAAGGAACGTCTACTATCCCGCCCGGGGCGTACCAGAACCAAACCATTGCTCGGCCACCGTTCCCCGCGGACGTATCCACGAGGATGGGGAAGCCTCCCAATGGCAGTCTCATGCTCTACCGACTGAGCTAGCCGTGCTGCAACCTAACCTAACCTAACCTAACCTAACCTTTTTTTTTTTTTTTTTTTGACTTGGAGAAAATCCCTCATGGAGACCCGCCGGCCCCGGGGGAAGCCCGCGGGTACTGTGAGACTCCTACTCACTAAAAACTCCAAGATGTCCCTCACCCAACGCCTATGCCGGAGTCGCGGGATCGAAACCATTCAACCGCAACTCCGACGGCGGTGGCCCACTCTAGCAGCGGGCCCCATCTCTGCGGGTTCCCTAGCGGAACCCACTACTTCCCCTCCTCTTCCCTGGGGAAGGCGCGCGGGGACATGCGCGCGACTTCTTCGGGCCTTGTGTGGTGGGGTGGGACCGCCCCCGCGGTCATCACCCCGGCCCGGTAGCGATCGAGGAGCGACTAGTTGCCGCCCCTACCTCCCTGATCGCCAGAAGGGGGACTGGGCTCATGGCCCGTTTCCATCCCCTCCTCCTGTTCGCTCCTTCGGCCTGGGGCCTGGGTGGCTGGCCGTTTCGCCTTCTTGCTTTTGGGCGGGGTGCAAGATTTTGCACCCACCCAATGGTTCGCCGGACGACCCAGCGCGGCACAGATGACGCACCGCGGATCAGCTGTGCAGGTTGCCGCACGGTGGCCTTCTTCCCCACAACGGTAGCAAAGACCGCTGCGATCCTGGGGTTGTGAGCATTGATTGCTCACATGTCCTCCTTCCAGGCATCGGAAGCATCGCAGCGGCCTTTGCCGGAGGAGCTCCGTCCGCGCCGAGACCCACCCTATGCGAATGTGCTTCGCCGCGGTCGCCTTCTTAATGGCCGCCACGGGGCCGCGAACCCAGCAGGTCCCCATCCCGGAGGTATTGCGGCGGATGTCACCGACCCTTACCGCATCCGGCTGGCATTCCCCGATTTGGGCAACTGCCACCGCCACCTCCTCTGTCGTGGCAGAGTCGTCCAGGCCCATCACGCGCATTTCCGCGGTTTTGACGGGCCTGGCCACTTTTGCCATACTCTCCGGAATAAACTCCCGGAGCTTCGAAGCCAAGGCGTCGGCTTTTTCGCCGCTCTCTGCACCAGGGATCTCCAGAATTCTGGCTCCGGTGATGGCCTGGCGCAGTCGGAGCGCCTCTATACCGAGGGGGCGAAGGTCCACTCGGTTTTTCGCCTCCAACAGTATGTTGGCGTACGTCACACCCTCCCTCTCCGCAGCCGGGTCGATAGTTATTACCACCGCCGCAGAGCGGGGCGGTTTTAACTTAGACGGGGCTGGCGCGGTGGGCTTCGCCGGCTTTGATGTGCTCGGCTTAGCGCCATGGCGGCTCGTTGATGGTACGGCCTGTCCCTCCGTGACGTTGACCATCTTCCCCCGCTTACCCTTCACAACAGTGGCCCAAGAGGCTTCTGTTGGTTGGGATGGCTGTGTTGCCGGGGGGGCACGAGTCTCGACCGGTTGTGAGGCCGAGTGGGCTGCCTTCTTGGGCTTCCTCTTATTTCCGCCCTTAGCCTGAGGTGCTGGCCCCTGGGCGCTTGTCCTTGTGCCGCCCGCTAGAACCTGGGGGACTGAGCCCCGGCTTCCATCTTCCTGAGCGGGTGGGCGTCCTTCGGCCGAGACCTGGGGAGCTGGGAGGAGACGACCCTCGATACTCGCGAGTCGATCATCCATCATCTTCCCCATACGCTTGACCAGCCTCTCTTCCATGTTTTCGAGGACCCGGGGAGACCCCATGGGTGCCTCTGTCTCGTCCGGTATTTGTCCGCCAGCCGTGGCACGCGATCGGCCAACCTCCTCGCGGAGGGCTGCCATTTCGGCGTCAAGGCGGGCAAACTCTTGCCTATAGCTGGCGATCTTCGCCTTGCTGTCAGCCACCTCTTTTTCCAGACGGGAGTTTGCCGCACGTAAACGTGCGCACTCGACCGTATCGGATCGGGACTTCAGGGCTTCCGCTGCTCTGCAAATTGAGGCAACAGAGTCCTTGACGTCCCTAACGACAGTACCCTTCAAATTGGCCGACTTACGGATGGCATCTAAGACCCGACTGGCCTCCCTCTCGATTTGGCCCCCAAGCTCGTCAGCAGCCCGTGTTTCCTCGTTAAATGAGGGTTTGCGGGAAGCCGCACGTGCCAGGGGCTTCTTCCTGGACTTGGCCGGTTCCACCTCCGGCGTTGTTCTTTCGGCCTCTTGTTGGGCCGCGTCATCGTCCGTGTCTATTGCCGTTATCCGCTGGAGGCGGACTCTGGCTTCCTTTAGGCCTATGGGGGCCTCCTTCCTCGTCAATGTTGTTGATGCTGCCGCCACCGCGGCAGTCTTCTTTTTTGGCGGCATAGCCACCGGCTCTGAGAACTTGCCGTCCCCGTGAAATTGATACCCAAAGATTTTTCGGGTATCTCCGTCTGCTGCAGGGCTTTGGTCCACCTTTTTGGGGACCGGTGTTGAACGCCCACTCCAGTCTGACTCTGAGTCGCCATCCGTCCGACGCCTTTTCCTCCTCAATGATCTGCGGGGGCCATCGACTGACGACCTCCCGCCATCGTCCAACGACATGCAGGAGCTGGAGAGGTCAGACCCCAATTCCAATTCTCGCTCTGCCATTTCCAGTTCGCGCACTAGCACGCTGAACGCCGCCGCATCTTCCGCGTTCAAATCTCCTCTCCTTGTCAACTCCTCTACGTCCTTCACGGACACCTCCTTCTCTCCGTCCTTCACGGACTTCGTCGTCGCACCGTCCTTCTCGGACCTTTCGTCAAAGGTTTTTTTGTTACTGTCCATTTTTGTTCCCACGAGTGTGGGGGAAAGGTTGCACAGCCGGCGTTGCCCCCTGCTACCGACTGCGGCCTAATACTCTTTGGGTGCGGCTGGTGCCCAAAGGTTGGTGCCCTTGCGGCCGGAGTTACTCCTCCGACCCGGCCGCCCCGGGGAACACGCTAACTGAAACGAATTCCAGCAGCATGCTCCGCGGGACGACCTGTCCCTCGCCAGGCACCGAGCTTAAACAAGAGGTTTTTTATAGAGGTTGACTCCTCGCGGCCCCGGGCAATTAAGCCAAGAGCCCCCGCTCCCACACTGGGCCGATAGACGTGATCACCGACACCCAGTGCAAGTTTACGGTTTGAAGTCAGTTGCACCGAAGTGCTGTCCGGCTGCGCAGTTAAGCACCCACCGGACCTGACTTGCCAGTAGGCAAAGAAGAAACAAGGAGAAAAGAAAACAGAACAATAGGAAAGATTCGAAGAAAGAAAAGACAAAAGACGAAAACAGAAAAAGAGAAAAGATTAGCCTACTCCTACTCGCCGGACTATCGGCCGACATAGTAGCAGTATCCCGAAGGAACGTCTACTATCCCGCCCAGGGCGTACCAGAACCAAACCATTGCTCGGCCACCGTTCCCCGCGGACGTATCCACGAGGATGGGGAAGCCTCCCAATGGCAGGCCCATACTTGGAGGTTGCCCGACACACGCCCCAACCTAACCTAACCTAACCTAACCTAACCTTTTTTTTTTTTTTTTTAACGTGTGGAAAAATCTTCAAAAGACCGTCACCTCGCCGGAGGGATGGCGAGGTGGTGTGTGAGACTTGACTCACTAAAAACCACACGGTGTACCTACGAGCGCCTATGCCGGAGCCAGGGGATTCGCAAGTGCATTCTACCCCAGCTCCGACGGCGACGGCCCGCCCTGTAGATGTTGTAGGGCAGGCCCCATCTCGTTTAGTGGTTAGGGCGACCTATTTCGCCCTACTCCATTGTGGAGGCGTGTGGGTACACGCGCACACCTCCGGGGCCTTTGGATTGGGGGGACTGCCTCCCTCAAGGCAGTCACCCCGGCCCCAGTGGGGGATAGAGGGGGGCGGAGTTGGGTACGCCCCCACCTCTAGGCCTGGCTCTTCTGCGGCGGAGGGAAGCGGGACGAGCTGACTCCCGCTCCCTTTCCGCCGCCTCCTTCCGCGAGATAACTTCCTCGCAGAAGGAGCTCACCGCCAGCCACGATCTCTCGCTACTGATCATCCTCCGAACTAAATTCGGCAGCGAGAGATCGTCCCCCACTATTCGTGTGAGGACACGGCGCTCACTCTCGAACGCTGGACATTCGTCCAGCGTGTGTTGCGCCGTGTCCTCAACACCTCCGCACTCGTGGCAGCCGGTCGTCGGCTCCTTCCTCGCCACATGACACAGATACCGCCCGAAGCATCCGTGCCCGGACAGTATCTGCGTCATGCGGTACGTCAGTGGCCATCTCCTATTCATCCACCGTTTGAGGATGGGACGGACAGCCTCGACGGTCCTCAGGCCGGCCGATGGACTGGCCAGCCTTTCTCTCCACCTGATCCTGAGGATCCGCCGAAAGTCGGACCTCCGCGCTTCGATCTCATGACCAGCGGGTGCCTCCCCCATGGAACGTCGCTCCGCGCGCCAGTGGTACACTGACGCGTGGAGCTCCGCTACCAAGTCCCACGGAGGAGACCCCGCCAGCAGACCCGCCGCCTCCCCGGATATGGTGCGGTAGCCTCTAATGGCCCTGATGGCCATGGCCCTGTGTGGCCTGTTAAGACAGGCCACATTTTCCTACCTAGGGCCCCCACCCAGATGGGGGCCCCGTACAGGGCCATGGACCGCACCACACCGAGGTATAAGCGGCGGGAACCTTCTCCCGGGCCCCTCACATTTGGCAGCAGCCAGCTAAGTGCGCCGGCGGCTGCCATAAGGCGAGGGACCAGGTTCCGGAAATGAGCGCGGAAGCTCCAACGACTGTCCAGGTCAAGCCCCAAATACCTAATACAGGGCTTGACCCCCACCCTCTGGCCACTGACGACCAGCTGGGCATCCGGAGGTGGCGCGCGCCGAGGCCCATGAAAACATAGGACCTCGGTCTTCTCCAGCGCCACCTGGAGCCCAAGCCTCCTTATTCGGCCGACGACCAGCGCCACGCTTGCCGTGGCAAAGCGGGTAGCCTCCCGTAGGTCCCGCCCCCGGGCAGTGACCAAGGTGTCATCCGCGTAACACACGAGGTCAGTGCCCGTTAAAAGGGCGCCCCGCAGGTTCCAATCATACCCGATGTTCCACAGGATCGGGCCCAGAACCGATCCCTGTGGAACACCGCGTTGCATTTCCCTCGACACTACAACGCCGTTCCGCCCCGTGCAGAGCACAGACCTGTCTTCGAGATAGGCCCCGATCACGTCCCGAATGTAGGGAGGCGCGCGATGGTACTGCAGCGCCTCCCTAATAGTCGCAAAGGGCAGGGTGTTGAAGGCGTTCTTTATGTCCAACGAGACCGCCAACAACACCCCACCCTGGGACGTCGCCTCTTCCGAGAGGGAGCGCACACGCGAGATCGCGTCTATCGTCGAGCGCCCCTCTCGGAACCCGAACTGCTTCGGGCTGAGATCGGGACCTACCTGAGACAGGTGTTGGACGAGTCGGCCCGCCAAGATTCTCTCGAAGAGCTTGCCGATCTCGTCCAACAGCACTATGGGGCGGAACGCCGAGGGAACCACCGAACCTGCGGGGTGCTCCGCTTTGCGGAGCAGGACCACTCCACCCGCTTTCCACTGATTGGGAAACCGTCCCGACTCCAGACACGCATTGAACAAGCGCCGGAGTCGGTCCCCTAGGGTGTTTAGGGCCAAGGCCAGGACGCGGCCGTGGATGCCATCCGGACCCGGGGCGACATTCTTGCCCCGGAGTTTATCCACGGCCGCGGCGAACTCCTCCACGGTGATGGCAGGAACCGCAGCAGCGCTGACGCCGCTGGCCTCTCCATCACTGCCACGCGGCATCATCGGAGGAGGTGTGAAGGGAGGCTGTCTCGGGAACAGCTCCTCCAACACCTCCTCCAACTGCTGCGGCTGGAGACCCTCTGCCACGGGGGGCGCCCAGGGGCGTAATTTGCCCCTGACGAACCTATAAGGACGCCCCCATGGATCCCTGTCCAGGGTCTCCAGGAGTTCTTCCCTGGCTGTCTCCTTGGCCCTGCTGATGGACAGCTGCAGAGCTTTCTTCCTCTCTTTGTACTGCTCGTACAGCTGTGCTTCCTCGTCGGCGTCGCGGCCCCGCCTGAGTCGGCGGTGCCTGGTGTACCGGCGGCGGGCGGCGGAGCACTCCTCCCTCAACGCCGCTATCTCCTCCGACCACCAGTACACCTGACGCCTAGGAGGTCGAGGGCCGGCTCGGGGCATCGCCGCGTCGCAGATGTGCGACAGAGCCTCGCCGAACCAGCCCACCTCTGCGTCGACCTCCACAGGCCCCTCCGGTATGGGAACCCAGGCCTGGACGATGGAAGCCTCCATCAGCACGTCTTTATTCAGACGTTTCAACACCCATCTGGGGAGTTGTGGGACATTCCTCTCCTGGCGACCGGGGTGCGGAGCTACGGGTGAGGGGAGAACGTCTATCCGGATATACCGATGATCGGATAGAGTCTCCACCTCATCCAACACCTGCCAGCTCCGCACCCTCTGTGCGATCGCTGGACTGCAGAGGGATACGTCGACATGCGACTCCCCCTGCTGTCTCACGCACGTGGCGGCCGACCCTCGGTTCAACACCACCAGGCCGGCCGCGGCCGCCCAGTCTTCCAGGACCCTGCCTCGAGAGTCGGTGATGGGGGAGCCCCATGCCGTGGATTTGGCATTGAAGTCCCCCATCACCATCATTGGACGGGCCGAGTATAGCTCAAGAGCGGCCCCCAGCCCGTCCATGAACTGCTCGAACTCGGCGAGAGTCCTGTTCGGAGAGAAGTATGTCCCGACAACGACGGTTTCCCCCCAACTCACACCTATGTACCCCGCTCCGCCGAATAGGCGGCTGACGAGCGGGGTTGCGGGATTGCCCGCACCGACAATGGCCACCAGGCCAGAGGGGTCGCCGAACCAATGGTCACTACGTGGGACACGATATGGTTCGGCGACCACTGCAAGGTCAACTCCCCACTGCACCGCGCTCTGCAGAAGCAGATCTTGGGCGCGCGCGCAGTGGTTGAGATTCCCCTGCAGGAGGCGATGGACTGCCATTATTGACCGGTGTCCATCACCTCAGCCTCTCCCCGGCGGCCATTGCCGCGGGCCGACGACAGTGCGGATCCCTTCTTTTTGTTGCGGGACTGGGGGCACTTTTTGGCCCCCACCCGGTGGTCAGCTGGGCGACCTGCCGCTGCGCAAACCACGCAGTGTGGGGCCGCCGAACATCCGGCCGCTTTGTGGCCGGGAACCCCACACCGGTAGCACAAGCCACTCCGGTCCTCCTCGTGCGAGCACCTGGCCAGCACGTGCCCGCTTTCGAGGCACCGGAAGCACCGGAGTGGCTTCTGCCGCAGCAGTTCCACAGCGGCTGAGACCCAGCCGATCCGGATCCGCCCTGCCGTCGTCACCTTCTTGACCGCGGCCAATGGGGCCCGCACCCAGCAGGTGCCCAGGCCCGACGCGCCGCGCCGAATCTCCCCGACGTTGACGGCGTCCGCCGTGCACTCGCCGTGCTGTGCCACGGCGGCCGCCACCTCTTCCCGGTCGGTACCGTCATCCAGGCCCATGACCCTCATCTCTGCGGTCTTGGTGGGCCTGGCGATGCGGACCGTACCTTCCGGGAAGACGTCCCGGAACTTCGACGCGAGCGCGTCGGCCTGGTCTCCCGTCTGGGACCCTGGGATCTCCAGGATCCGGGCCCCAGTAGCCGCGGTCTTGAAGCGCAGGCTTCCTATCCCCAAAGAGGCGAGGTCGATCTTATCCTTCGCCTCCTTGAGGACCTTCGAGTAGGTCATACCCGCAGCCTCCGCCTCCGGGCAGAGCGACACGACTACGGCCGCCGAGCGCGGTGCGCGCAGTTTGGATGGCGACGGCGGGGCCGGTTTGCCCTTCTTCCCCTGAGAGGGAGCCCCAGAGCTCCTCTGAGTACTTTGGGTACTCTGGGTCTGCCTCTCAGGGACGCTGCGGTTTTTGCCGCCCCGTCTCACCACTGTATTCCAGCCATCCTGCGCGCGCCCTGCGCCCGACGGCCCCGGCTGTTGGCTGCCGGATGTTTGCCGGCTAGCGGGTTGACCACCCAAAGGTGGGAAGTCTGCGCCTTGTGCCCCGCGCAGATGGGGGCATCCCTAAACCCCGGACCCCCCGCGCCAGGGATGCGGGACAAAACCTCGTACCGCCCATCGCTTTGTAGCGGCGGGCGGTATTCAGGGCGGATTGTTGACGCCGGGGAGCTGATGCCCAGGGCAGCCTTGATTTCACGGATGCCCTTCTCAATTTGGGCACCGATACGGGCATCAATTAGCTCCCCGGTCGCCCTCATGATATCCGCCCTGAAGGCCCCGACTTCGTCCGGCTCGGGGTCGGGCCAGGTGCCCTTACCCTCGGAGACCCCTGCGGCGCGCGGGAAGCAGCCAGAGGAGGTTGCGACCCCGAGTTCGCCGCGAGTTGCCGCATTTGGGCTTGGAGGGCCTGGAGCTGGCTTCGGAGCTCCTTGTTCTCCTTACGGAGCTCCTCCACCTGCGCCTCCAACATTCGCCGTTTGACGGCGCCCGCGGTGAACTCGCTGTTGATGGCGGCACTCCCGTCCAGTTCCTCCGCCATCAACATCACGGAGCTGATGCTCTCCTTCAGCTGCCTCTGGTCGGTCCCCGTTAAGTTTCCGCACCTGTGCACCGTGTCCAGGGCAGCCCCGAGCTTTCTCTGGGCCTCCGCCCTGAAGACGGCCACAGGCTGCGAGTCGTCCTTTTGGGGGACCTTCCCCTTTGCCGCAGGAACCTCCGAGGGTCGGACGAACACCCCGTCGTCCCTCCGTTTTTCCTGTCGCCGGGACTTCGGCGACGTTGCCGGACTCTCTGTGGCCCGGCCCACGGGCACCACCAGGACTACCCCGTTCCCGGACGACGGGCAGGGGATTTTGGACGGCTTGCCCGCCGCCCCGGAAGGGCCCGGTCCATCCACGTGCGGCCGCTTCGGAACGGCCGCTTTCGCCAGCCCGTCCTCGCTCGACACAAGGCAGCCGGACAAATCGTCCTCCACCAGCATCGAGCGCGTCGAGCGCGTGGAGCGCGTCGACGACGCCGAAGAGGGACGAGATGTCCGCGACCTTGCTCGCGAGACGGGCCGCGACCTCGCCGCCGACCGCACCGTGTCGGCGTCCGCCAATGTGACGGAGTCCGTCATGGACCAAAAGTCCAGGTCCCGGGGTAGGGACAGGTACTCCTCGTCCCCCCCCGGCGGGGGACGGGAAAAGAAGGGGGCTGGTAGTACCAGCCAACTCCCTTAAGTCGTCGGCAGCAGTAACACGCCCAACCTAAGTCGGGCGGGTAATACGGAGGCTAGCGCCTCCACAGGCTGCTCCAGGGCTTCCCCTGGAGCAGGCACAGCAAACAGGAGTTGCCCCCTGTCGCTCCCGGTGAGTCCACCAAAATCCACCTCAGCGCAACAACAAAACAAACAAAAACAACAAAACAAAGGAAACTTAACCTAACTAACCTAACCTAAGTATATGTACAAAACCTAACCTATTTAATTAAAAGAAAAAAGAAAGAATAAAAGAATCAACAAAAACAAACAGACACACTACTTTTTTTTTTTTTTTAACGTGTGGAAAATCTTCAAAAGACCGTCACCTCGCCGGAGGGATGGCGAGGTGGTGTGTGAGACTTGACTCACTAAAAACCACACGGTGTACCTACGAGCGCCTATGCCGGAGCCAGGGGATTCGCGAGTGCATTCTACCCCAGCTCCGACGGCGACGGCCCGCCCTGTAGATGTTGTAGGGCAGGCCCCATCTCGTTTTGTGGTTAGGGCGACCTATTTCGCCCTACTCCATTGTGGAGGCGTGTGGGTACACGCGCACACCTCCGGGGCCTTTGGATTGGGGGACTGCCTCCCTCAAGGCAGTCACCCCGGCCCCAGTGGGGGATAGAGGGGGGCGGAGTTGGGTACGCCCCCACCTCTAGGCCTGGCTCTTCTGCGGCGGAGGGAAGCGGGACGATAAGACTCCCGCTCCCTTTCCGCCGCCTCCTTCCGCGAGATAACTTCCTCGCAGAAGGAGCTCACCGCCAGCCACGATCTCTCGCTACTGATCATCCTCCGAACTAAATTCGGCAGCGAGAGATCGTCCCCCACTATTCGTGTGAGGACACGGCGCTCACTCTCGAACGCTGGACATTCGTCCAGCGTGTGTTGCGCCGTGTCCTCCACACCTCCGCACTCGTGGCAGCCGGTCGTCGGCTCCTTCCTCGCCACATGACACAGATACCGCCCGAAGCACCCGTGCCCGGACAGTATCTGTATCATGCGGTACGTCAGTGGCCATCTCCTATTCATCCATCTTTTGAGGATGGGACGGACAGCCTCGACGGTCCTCAGGCCGGCCGATGGACTGGCCAGCCTTTCTCTCCACCTGATCCTGAGGATCCGCCGAAAGTCGGACCTCCGCGCTTCGATCTCATGACCAGCGGGTGCCTCCCACATGGAACGTCGCTCCGCGCGCCAGTGGTACACTGACGCGTGGAGCTCCGCTACCAAGTCCCACGGAGGAGACCCCGCCAGCAGACCCGCCGCCTCCCCGGATATGGTGCGGTAGCCTCTAATGGCCCTGATGGCCATGGCCCTGTGTGGCCTGTTAAGACAGGCCACATTTTCCCGACCTAGGGCCCCCACCCAGATGGGGGCCCCGTACAGGGCCATGGACCGCACCACACCGAGGTATAAGCGGCGGGAACCTTCTCCCGGGCCCCTCACATTTGGCAGCAGCCAGCTAAGTGCGCCGGCGGCTGCCATAAGGCGAGGGACCAGGTTCCGGAAATGAGCGCGGAAGCTCCAACGACTGTCCAGGTCAAGCCCCAAATACCTAATACAGGGCTTGACCCCCACCCTCTGGCCACTGACGACCAGCTGGGCATCCGGAGGTGGCGCGCGCCGAGGCCCATGAAAACATAGGACCTCGGTCTTCTCCAGCGCCACCTGGAGCCCAAGCCTCCTTATTCGGCCGACGACCAGCGCCACGCTTGCCGTGGCAAAGCGGGTAGCCTCCCGTAGGTCCCGCCCCCGGGCAGTGACCAAGGTGTCATCCGCGTAACACACGAGGTCAGTGCCCGTTAAAAGGGCGCCCCGCAGGTTCCAATCATACCCGATGTTCCACAGGATCGGGCCCAGAACCGATCCCTGTGGAACACCGCGTTGCATTTCCCTCGACACTACAATGCCGTTCCGCCCCGTGCAGAGCACAGACCTGTCTTCGAGATAGGCCCCGATCACGTCCCGAATGTAGGGAGGCGCGCGATGGTACTGCAGCGCCTCCCTAATAGTCGCAAAGGGCAGGGTGTTGAAGGCGTTCTTTATGTCCAACGAGACCGCCAACAACACCCCACCCTGGGACGTCGCCTCTTCCGAGAGGGAGCGCACACGCGAGATCGCGTCTATCGTCGAGCGCCCCTCTCGGAACCCGAACTGCTTCGGGCTGAGAAACAGACACACTACTATACTATCGTAACCTAACTAACCTAACTAACTAACTAACCTAACCTAACTATATATGTACAAAACCTAACTAACCTAACAATTAAAGGAAAAGAAAGAAAAGAAAGAAAGAAAAATAAATATTGCGCTAGCGCCAAAAAGAAAACACCTCAAAACAATCAAAACAGTTCCCACAAGTCAACCTTTTTTTTTTTTTTTTTTTACGTCAGGAAAATCCATCATGGAGAACCATTCCCTTAGGGAGGAATGGATACTGCCGGACTCCTACCTGCTAAAAACCTGACGACTATTCCTCCTTGAATCATATCGCCCGGGCCATGGGAACGCAAAGCATTCGCCCAAGACCCCGGCATGGTACCCATCGAAGGGACCTCCATCTAGGCGTGCAGGGAATAGTGTCTGCACGCCACCGCCAGACCCTAAAACCTCCCCGGCGAGCTTCGGATTGCCCTAACAATCCTCCACCCTAGGGTCAATTTTGGAGTCGATGCACACCTGATTTTACTCAAGCGTCCATCGACTCCCCCCCCCCACCTGTGGCCCGCGCCGCGGCTCGGGCCTTAGGCGGGCGACACAAATTAGTGACGCCCACTCTATGGTCGGATTTCCGACCCGCCGCGGCACAGTACCGACAGTTCGGTGATGGCGCGGCGCACCGTGCGGCCTTATGGCCGGGCTCGCTGCAGCGGAAACAGATTCCGCTGCAGTCTTCCCCGGCGGTGCATCGGACGCCCACATGGCCTCCCACAAGTCAACCTTTTTTTTTTTTTTTTAACTTGGAGAAAATCCCTCATGGAGACCCGCCGGCCCCGGGGGAAGCCAGCGGGTACTGTGAGACTCCTACTCACTAAAAACTCCAAGATGTCCCTCACCCAACGCCATATGCCGGAGTCGCGGGATCAATTTATACTCGACCGCAACTCCGACGGCGGTGGCCCACTCTACAGCGGGCCCCATCTCTGCGGGTTCCCTTTGGAACCCACCACTTCCCCCGTCTTCCCTGGGGAAGGCGCGCGGGGACATGCGCGCGACTTCTTCGGGCCTAGTGTGATGGGGTGGGACCGCCCCCGCGGTCGTCACCCCGGCCCGGTAGCGATCTAGGGGCGGCTTGGGCCGCCCCTGCCTCCTTGATCGCTGGGAGGGGAGGTGTCCATCCCCTCCTCTGCTCCACTCCTACGGCCTGGGACCTGTGAGGCGGGCCGTTTCCCTCCCTTCCTTTTGGGCGGGGTGCACTTCTTGCTCCCCACCCAATGGTCCGCCGGCCGCCCCTGGGACGCACATACTGCGCATCTGGGGGCTGCGGCGCACGCTGCGACTTTGTGGCCCGCCTCTCCGCATCGGTAACAAAGCCCGCTGCGGTCTTCCTCCTGTGTGCATTGCGCCCTGACATGCCCACTTTGTAGGCATCGGAAGCACCGCAGCGGACGTTGCCGCAGCAGCTCCACCTTCGCGGACACCCATCCTAGCCGCATGTGACCCTCCGCCGTGACCTTTTTTACGGCCGCCATAGGGCCGCGGACCCAGCAAGACCCCAAGGCTTTGGGGCTGCTCCTTCTGATGGGCCCGACCTTGACGTCCCCGGCCACGCACTCGCCATCACGCGCAACGGCGGCGGCGACATCCTCCGGCGTAAGTGAGTCATCCAGGCCCATGACCCGCATTTCGGCGGTTTTTGAGGGCCTGGAGACCTTCGCCACATCCTCCGGGATAAGGGCCCGGAGTTTGGACGCGAGGGCGTCAGCCTTTTCCGCGCTGGAGGCGCCGGAGATCTCCAGAATCCGCCCCCCGGTTATTGCAGGCCGAAGCCGCATATCCTCTATGCCGAGGGGGCGGAGGTCGATCCTCTCCTTTGCCTCCGTCAGGACGTTGGCGTAGGTGACGCCCTCCTTTTCCGCCGCTTCCCCGATGGTTATGACCACCGCCGCTGAGCGGGGCAGTCGCAACTTCGAGGGGAGCGGCGGGGTCGCCTTCTTCTTGGGCGCCGGCTTCGCCTTCTCCTTTGCCGCCTGTGTGGCGGTGACCGTCTTCTGGCTTTCGGGGACCACAGTCAGTTTGCCCCGGTTTCCCCTCACTACCGTTGCCCACGAGGAGCAACCCGCCTCCGGTTGTGTTGATGGGGTAGCCGGAGGATTAACCGTCGGTGGTTGTCCCCCTTGCGCAGCCTTGGGCGCTTTCTTCCCCTTACCCTTGCCTTTCTTGGCCTGGGGAGCAGAACCCCGACCGCCCTCGTTCTGTGCGGCAGGCTGGGAAGCCACCTCGGCAGATGTGGGTGCCGGGGGTTGGGCCGTTGTTGTGGCCTGGACTTCTTCTGATGGGGAGGACTTGGCAATCATGGTCTTCACCTGCTCCATGAAGTTCCCCATCATAGACCCCATCATGGACCGAACGGTCCCTCCAACGTCCCGCATTATCTGCGCCCTGAAGGAACCCAAATTGGTTCCACTTTCCGCCTCCTGGGATGGAGCAGCCGGTGCAGCCGCTTTCGCAGCGCGGAGCTCGGCGACCTCCCTGCGCAGGTCCTCCACTTGTTTCTCCAGCCGGAGATTCCTTACTAAGAGGGGCGAGACCGAAGTTGGGAATAGATCACCCTCAAGGGTGGCCACCTCCTTCGTTATTCCCTCCAGTCTGTCCTTCAGGGCCTTGATGAAGGTGCCCTTGAGGTTCGCTGACCTCCGGATGATGTCCTCCATGTCCTCCGTATGTTCCAGGACGGCCAACCTAACCCTCCGGACCGCCTCCCCGGCTGCCGAGGTAGGAGGGTCCAGTAGGGCGACATCTTTCCTCCTTGCCGCCGTCTTCGGGGGGCCGGCTTTTGTTTTGCCAGCTGATGTTTTGCCCCCTTCGTAGAATTCGTATCTGAATTCGTCCAATCCGGTCTTTTTTGCGGGCACCTTCAGCTTCGTGCCGGTATTCCGGCTCTTAGCGTTGGACGTTCTACCGCTTGTCTCTGCCTCTGAAAGGCGTCTCTTACGCCCAGAGGGCGCAGGCTCTTCAAACTCCATCTCTTCCAGGTCTCTCAGGGTTGTGCATGAGCTCGACCGCGAAGACCCGCAGTCGATCCCCTGAACAACTCTGGATCGTGTCCTCCTCGGAATTGTGTCTCCATCGACACTGGAGACCTCCGACATCGACCAGTATTCCAGGTCCGCCGCACTAACCTGGCGACTGGTACCGGCCGTTGGGAGGCTCTCTGTACTCCACGACATATCCCCTGATTTTCTGGGTTCTCCGCGTTCCAGTATTACAGAGCATCTCCTAAGGAGAGCATCTGGTCTCACCACCTTCTTTCCACCGTCCTTCTCGGACCCCTTCTGAACTCCGTCCTTCGCGGACACTGCCATCTCACCGTCCTTCACGGACCCAACATCGGTTTTTTTGTTTTTAGCATCCATATTTGTTCCCACGAGTGTGGGGGAAAGGTTGCACAGCCGGCGTTGCCCCCTGCTACCGACTGCGGCCTAATACACTTTGGGTGCGGCTGGTGCCCAAAGGTTGGTGCCCTTGCGGCCGGAGTTACTCCTCCGACCCGGCCGCCCCGGGGAACACGCTAACTGAAAGGAATTCCCAGCAGCGTGCTCCGCGTGACGACCTGTCCCTCGCCAGGCACCGAGCTTAGACAAGAGGTTTTTTATAGAGGTTGACTCCTCGCGGCCCCGGGCAATTAAGCCAAGAGCCCCCGCTCCTACACTGGGCCGATAGACGTGATCACCGACACCCAATGCAAGTTTACGGTTTGAAGCCAGTTGCGCCGAAGTGCTGTCCGGCTGCGCAGTTAAGCACCCACCGGACCTGACTTGCCAGTAGACAAAGAAGAAAAACGAAAAGAAAACAGAAAGAGAGAAAAGAAAAAGACAAAGAAAAGAAAAGACGAAGACAGACAAAGTAGAAGAGAAAGATTTGCCTACTCCTACTCGCCGGACTATCGGCCGACATAGTAGCAGTATCCCGAAGGAACGTCTACTATCCCGCCCAGGGCGTACCAGAACCAAACCATTGCTCGGCCACCGTTCCCCGCGGACGTATCCACGAGGATGGGGAAGCCTCCCAATGGCAGGCCCATACTTGGAGGTTGCCCGACACACGCCCCCCCACAAGTCAACCTTTTTTTTTTTTTTTTTTTTTTCATCAGGAAAATCCGTCATGGAGACCCATTCGCCATAGGGGGCGAATGGGTACTGCCGGACTCCTACCGGCTAAAAACCTGATGGTATACCTCTCAGCCCTTGGCGGACGAGGACGCGGGAACAGACATTCTTCCGCTTCCCCGCCCTGGGCTCGGATGGACACTCCCGGAAGGCGCCGCGGGGTATACGCCGGGCGCCTCCGCTCGGGCCACTGACCTTCATGGAGCTTTGGATGGCCCTACCCAT